CTGCAGCATCCTGCTGTGCCAGGAAGCAAGAAAACACTCAGAAATTAAAAGTAAATAAAAATAGTTTAAAAAAACATCATGGATCCAAAAATGGGAGTATGTCAGAGGGACACGGGAGCCAACTGAAAGAGCTTCCAATGACCAAAGCTTGAAGAATTTGAGGCAGAAAATAAACAAAGTAGCCTTGGATTCGAGCCCAAAGGATAAACTAAATGGCTGCGGTTCCACACTGCTATGGACAAACCACTGAATAATGAATAAATAAATGTGGAAGGGAAGGCAATTCTTGGGCACAGAAGAATCCTTCCCCACTCTCCCTGGAGGCTGTGGGGTATAACTCTGCACTTTTACAGGGGGCCGGGCACCGGGACTTCCTGTCAAAGAGGAAACCAGCAGCTTCAAGCTTCAAACTTGGGGCCGTCGATACCTGCCGCAGGAGCCCAGGAGGCGGGCAGTGTTGGTCAGGTTTGTCTGGAAATATATAATTCTACAATGACAATGGCGATGGCATTGAATGTCTTCAGTCTTCCTCCAAAAACACATCCTGAACTTGAGAAAAACCTCAGATGAATCACAACTAAGGGACCAAATATCCCACCAGTACGCCTCCAATAGAGCCAGGTCATCAAAAGGTGCCTAAGAGACATGACAACTAAAAGTCCTACAGGAACCTGGGTGGAGACAAAAAATTACCCCCCCAAAAAATTAGTTTAAAAACTAACTAAAGAAGCCGGGCGTGATGCCACACGCCTGTAGTCTGAGGACTCAGGAGGCTGAGGCAGAAGGATCGCCCTAGGCTACATTGTGAGCTCAAGGCCAGCTTGAACAGCATAGTGAGACCCTGTCTCAAAAAAAAAAAAAAATGTCCAAAGAGAAATTAAAGAGATCTGAATAAAGTGTGGACTGTCCCATCGGTAACCACACTGCTGAAAGGCACCCTAGTAATGCAAGATGTTACTCGCAGGCACAGTGGGCCTTGGGTATCAGAGCCTAGCATGTTCACAGTAATTCTGCAACTCTAAAAGTGTTCTTAACATTTTTAAAGACAAAAGAGGGGCTGGGGATTTAGCTTGGTGGTGCTGCCACCTGCCTTGAAAGCACAAGGTCCTGAGTTCAATTCACCAGTACAAAAAAACCACAAAAACAAAAGAGTACATAGCAGAATTCACTCTATTTGCAGATATTATAAAGACTGATAATTTACATGTGTTCCTGGCACAAGAATCATCACACAGAACAGAATGGGAAGCCCAGGTAAACTCCTCATCGATAAAGTAATTTGGGTTAAAAGTAGGATCCAAATGATGGGAAAAAAGGATTATTCAATAAACATATACCTGAACAATTACTTCTGCCATTCAAGAAGAATTATTTAGATTCTTAATACATTTTTTTTTTGGTACAGGGATTGAACTCGAGACCTTGCGATTTTGAGGCAGGTGGCGGAACGACTGAGCTAAATCCCTGGCCCTCTCAATACACTTTTTAAAAAATTTTTGTGTGACAGGATTAAAAGCAAAGAGAGAAAATAAAAAATCCAGAACATCTGACTTTGTGAGAGAAAAATTAAAAATGCCTTCTTAGCCATGCATGTGAAGAAATCATGAAAAGGAAAAAATACAGAAATTTCTCCACACAAACATGGAAAACTTCAGGGGGCTGGGGATTTAGCTCAGTGGTTCTTTCCCCTGCCTTGCAAGCACAAGGACCCGAGTTTGATCCCTGGTACTGGAAAAAAAAAACATGGAAAACTTCAGAACACCAAGAAACAGAATCCACATTGAAAGGCAAACAACCAGGAAAATTATTATGCATGGAACAAAAAAGTGTTCACACCACCAACACAGGGCCTTCACACTGACTGAGAAGAAAACCATTCGAGTTTAGAAAAGTCAGCAAAGAAACTGATAATTAATGAAAGAAACGTGGGCCGGGGATTTAGCTCAATGGTTCCACCGCCTGCCTCGCAAGCACAAGGTCCCGAGTTCGATCCCCAGTACCAAAAAAAAAAACCAAAAAAAACAAGTCAGACAGGAAGAAATCTAAGTAATACTTGAAGCCATACTGGACCTCACCAGCAACCTAAACAGAAGTGACCCTTTTCTGTCTTTGAATTAAGCTAAGAACATGGTTCTCCAATTCCTCGTGTTGGGGGTGCTTGCACCAAAAAGGACCCCTGGTGTTTCTGGTGGAAGTTTCGACTCTGGCTCACTCTGGAAAACAACTCCAAGAGCTGCCCACCACGCTGTGTTAAAACTGGCCCAGGATTTCCACTCCAAGGAGCTTAATCGTGCAGCAGAACCAAAGATCCAGTTCCGCCCCCCAGGAGGGTTTTTTGTAACGTTTTACCATAGAAGAAAACCTGAAAGCAATCTAAATTTCCAACCAAATGAAGTGATTGGCAAATTTCTCTAATTTTTCATCTCTGGAGACTTACCACTTTTTGCATGTAAAAATTAATGAAAATTGGGCCAGGGATTTAGCTCAGCAGCACTGTGCCTGCCTTGCAAGCGCAAGTTCCTGAGTTCAATCCCTGGTACCGAAAAAAAAAAAATTAATGAAAATTGCTGAGTGTGGTGGCACACACCTGCTGTTTCAGCACTTGGGAGGCTGAGGCAGGAGGATCTCAAGTTTGAGGTCACCCTGGGCTATATAGTGAGACCCAGTCTCTAAAACTAAAAAACTTTCTTAAAGTACTTACAAAACACATTTCCAAACACAGGTCCTCCTTTGTCGCCAAGTCTCTGTGGTCTAAACCACCACTCCTAGACCCCCACACCCCTCTCTCTGAGAAACCCCTCCCAGCACGAAGACCTAGGCACAGTCAATGAGAAAGCCTATTTCTCAAACGCCTGTTACACTGAAAGAAATTCCATTTGCTGACTCCAAAGATGCAGCAGACTTAAGCCACAGCTTCCATCCTGGCTCAGAACCTGCAGAGGAAATGCAAGGGCTGGGACCCCTCAGGCTGTCAGAAAGGAAGGACCCCCTTTTCCCTCACACCCACCAGCACCCACACACTCGCCAGGCTGTCCAGCCACTGCCCCACCAACTCCCTGCACCCCACCAAGTCTTCTGTCCCAACTGAGCCCTGGCACCCAGCACCTGCCAGGTAGTATTCCAAACCCAGAAAACATTCACTTGCTTTCTTTCTTTTGTGTATGCGGGGTTGTGTACTGCGGAATGAATCCAGGGCCTTGGCACTAAGCTATATCTCCAGCCTTTCTTAATTTTTATTTTTCATTTTGAAGCAGTATCTCACTAAGTTGCCCAGGCTGGGCTCAAAATTGCGATTCTCCTGGCTCAGCCTCCCCAAGTGCTGGGATAGCAAGCGCACTCACCACACCCAGCTTTGTTCGAGTTCCTCCGCCCTCCTGCCATTCTGTGTCCTCAGAGAGCTGCCCTGGCCCCCTCCCTCACAAGACTGCATCCACAGCAGGGGCTCAGTGGATGGGAGTCCCCTCTGTGGGAAGCTGGGGTGTCTCCAGGGACTATGATTTGGGGAACCAGGAGGAGGATGGAGGGATGGCCAAGCCTGCTCGGTTTCAGGGGAGAGGGGAGGGGTGGGCCCAGGGCTCCCTGGAAATGATGGCAAGAGGGGGCAGCATGGCAGCCCCTCAAGAGCCATCCTGGGCCTGAGGACACCTGTCTGGTGCCTGCCTCACACCCTGAGCCAAGCATTTTAGAGACAAACTCAGGTGATGGATCAGGAATGGCATCACCCTGGCAGGTGGCCTTGGGAAAGACTTGCTGCTGTCCCCAGTCTGCTTCTCCCACTGTCAGATAAAGGGACGATTCCGTGACCTCTGACCTCCCTCCATGGGTGTCTTCTGAAGCCCAAGAACAATGCAGAGGGTGGGCGACAGGGGAAGAGACAGGGCCGCAGGACACACTCACACTCCAGCCCCTCCCAGCGCGGGCTTGCTCCCCAATCCTGGGGGCAAAGCTGTCCCTGTGCGGTTCCCAGAAATCTATTTCTGGAGCCCTTGCTTCTGGCTTGGAACTGCAGATTCCTGGGAAGCCCAGAACTTCTGGGAGTGAGGGACCCCAAGTCCCGGAGACAACGCCTTCAGCTGGGGACCTCGTGGAAGGGCTTCAATCGCCCCTAAGGACGTTGTGACTAACAGACGCGCCTTCTTTTAAAAGGGCTTGCTCGAAAATAAATAAGTAAATAAATAAAAATTAAAAATAAAAAAAGTAAAAGGGCTTGCTCGCTGGGACACCTCAGCACAAACGACTTTGCCGTTCAATTATGCAAAGAACCTGCTTTCAGTTTTTTTCCTTTTAAAGCTATCCCGGTTAGAGGCTCGGACAGATGGAGAAAAGGCAGTAAAGCATATAAATCGAGGATCCAGCTGGGGGCATACAGGTGTTCGCTGTGCTGTACTCGGTTGTAAGTTTGAAATGTTTCTTTCTGAAAAGAACGCGGGCAGGACCAGCCTGGCTCGGGGTTAGGGACCCCAGTGCGCGCCGGCCCTGCTGCGGGAACCCCCACCCTGGGGCCCCCAGGACCGTTCAAGGGCGCGGGTCAGCCCTGAGCTTGGAGAAGGGGCTGCAGGGACAGCGGGGCGCCGGCTGGGGAGGAGGAGGAGCCAGGGTGGGCGCCTGGCTGGGCAGCGAGCTTCTGCGTCCCTCAGAAGGCAGGGGACGGCGGGGGTAGGCCGGGGTAGGTAGGGGGAGTCACCCCGGGGTCCCCGTGGGCCCCACCTCGCCCGAGCCCCGCCTCTGGGGTCTGCGCTGGCCTCCAGCGCCCACGCTAGGAGCGAATTCTAAGAAATGGCAAGAGTAAAAGGCAAAGAGGGGAAAAGCACCATCTTACAACCGCGGAAAGCCAGGCTTGGGAAGGAGCCCTGGCAGGGCCGCAGGCCGGACAGCGCCAGCCCGAGGCGCGGGCAAAGCAGGGACAGAGGGTGCGGGAGGAGGGACGCCGGAAAGGCGCCCCCGCCCGGCGGCCGTGCAGCCGCGCAGAGCCACGTGCGCCCCGGGCGCGGCGCGGTCACCTGGGTCGTGGAAGGGCACCAGCGCGTAGTTGGCCACGGCCTGGCTGCGGCTGCTCAGGGTCCGCTCCAGGATGCGCGAGGCGCCGTCGATCACCTGCATCAGGTCGTCCCACATGGAGCCGGTGACATCGAAGACGAAGGCCAGGGTGGCGTCCCCCGGGGAGTGGGGCAGCGCCGTCCTGGGCGCCCCGGCCACCGCCGCAGCCGCGGAGACTACGATCACCAGCAGCCGCAGGAGCCGCACCCCGGGCATCGTGGACAGCGCGGAGGCCCGATGCGCGGCGCCTCGCTCCGGCGGGACGCACGGTGTGGCACAGGGGCCGGCGGGGTCCCCCTGCTGGGAGCCCGAGGCGGGTCCTGGGCCCACGCCGCCCTGCGCAGGGTCACGGCCCGCCTCCGCCGCTCCCCCCGTGACTCAAACTTTCCCAGCCCCGCCGCCCGCCGTCCAGACCCGGGGTTAGGGGAGGACGCGGGGGAGGGAGGCGCGGAGCAGCGGACACCTGCGCGCCCAGGCGGGGGCGGGAGGACGCGACGCGACGTCTCTGTGCACTCCCAGCCCATCGGTCTTTCCAACTCCCCCTTCCTCTGAGCCAAGCCCCGTCGTCGCTGTCACCGCGATCCTCACCAGCGCGAGCTCACCCAACCCCAGAGGGAAACACTGACACCAAGCCCAGGTCGCAGAAGAGCAAACGAGGCCCAGGGAGGTGACCTCCTTGCCCAGGGTCGCCCAGCGCCCCGGGGCCGCACGGGGGTCAGAGGCCGGACCACAAAGACTCCGCAGGCCCAGCCTCGTCTTTGGCATGTTGCAGGATCTCAGGAAATGTCGCTGGCGCACACCTGTAACCACGGCACTCTGGGAGGCCGAGGTAAAAAAAAAAAAAAATTGCAAGTCTGACGCTGAGCTTCCATCTCACCCCAGAAAGAATGGCTGCTATCAAGAAATCAACCAATGACAGGGCCAGGGGGTTAGCTCAGTGGTTCCAGCGCCTGCCTCACAAGCGCAAGGTCCCGAGTTCGATCCCCGGTACAAAAAAAAAAAAA